TTTTTTTTTATTACTTTAAAGCCTCAACAACTAAGGTTATTAGCTTACATATTTTAAAATATTACTTATATATACAGGTACAATTTACAATACATTTTACAATATTACAATAAAATTATTCTTGGTAGGTATGTGTAATTAAAATAGCCTGTTATTTTATTTGAGTGCTTTTGAATATACCTACAGGATAATGAGAAATTTCGACGACAATAAGTCAATCAAGCCACTTTAATAATACATATATCCATATATGTTTTTGAAAAATAAAAGCTATTTACTTAATAAGTTAATATAAATACCTCTTTCAATGCCCACACTTAATAATATATAAAACAAGTTTTCAATTAAATTTTAATTATTTGATTTATTTAGCGACCTACTAGTATAATCATAGCACAACGCTAGTGTATAATATAGATCAGTTGAAATTTATTTTATTCATTATTTTTTTTTCTATTTGATTACCGCCGAAAATGATTTTGCTACCTACAAAAAATCTTAAATAAATCTGTGTGTAACTACAGAATTTGATTTAAAGAGAGAGATTATAGAGTTAGAGAGTARTGGAGAAACATTAATAATGTTTAAATGTTTTTAAAGAAAAATAACAGTCTGCTCTGAAGCAAGGAACAAAATTGATGCTCATGGGCCTTTGAGTATCTAATTTGACAATAATTTTTATCGATACGCCACGGGATATGGTCTCCGGCGAGAGTATCTATATTAAAAAAAATGTCTAGTAGCATCCTTCCAGATATTTTTTCTCTGCAAAAAAAAAATTGAGGAATAATATAGATAATATATTATTGTTTATTATTATAGTTTTTATTTGCGTTATACACACACACACACACACACACACACACACACGTATATATTTATGGAAAACAAAATGGATCATAAATTAAAATCATCATCATACGATATTAAAGCGTCAAACGGATGTGACAAGGTATGAAAGTACAATTTTAAAGTTTTAATAATATTTAATTTGCGTAGGTACATCATAATATATTATATATAGGTAGGTAATATAATGATAAAATACAACACGTTTGGAAATTATAAATAAATAAATAAATAAATATAAATAATAATCATAATAGGTTGATTATGAAATATTAAACTAAATGAACGATGGCACAACCTATAAGCTACATATTTTGAGAATATAACATTAATACAATATAATATATAATATTATGACGTGAACGAGATCTACCTACACGTATACCCATGTTATATTTGTCCACTAAAAAACATTATAAATTACTATGTAGGTAGGCACATCTATACAATATATTATACTTCTAAGCTATTATGACTACAAATATTACTGCTATTACATTTTACTAAGAATAAAACTATACATTTGTTTGTGTTTTTATGTTTACTACTTATATATATAATATAATGATATATTATGTAGTATGTATATAATATATAATCCGAAACGAAACAAAAAGAGAAAAAATACATATAAAACAGTCCTCTTTTTGTTACGTTTCGATGCGAATAGTGAATACGAATATTGTGTGTAAATATTAATGATAATAATAATAATTATGATATTTAAATGTGTTTATTATAATAATTATGTAGATAAAATATAATGATAAGCACTGGAAGGCGGCGTTATCGTTGGCAAAGATGTCTCCAGCGCGAATTTCGAATGTCCCTACAGTGTATTACGTATAATAATATTATGCGTGTGTTCCGGTGTAAAATAAACAATATCGAATAATGAATAGTAATGATAATAAATGAGCGGTCGTCGGACTCGGGGATATGAATTTCCGGACATAACTTTTTATCGTGATTGTTTTGTGACATTATATTATATAGTCTTTCTTCGGGTGGTCGATTTATTTTAACAGTATTTTCGCACCAGTCGAATAGTCATGTGCGAGTCAACCGGAGGATTTTATTGCAGAGAACTCCGCGTAAATTGTATAAAATTAACAAGATAACATACATATAGGTACGTATATTGGTACTTGATTGCGCGGAACCCGTGGGATCGGGAAGAAGGACGTGTATATATAATATAAAATACAAGCTTAGGYGCAGGACTATTTACAATATATGGAGTTGTGGGGGGAGTGGTGTTTTGACGGGGGTGGTTGATGGGACAGGGGTTGTTTGTGGGACGGAGTTGGGTGGGCGTGAACCGAAAGAGGACGAAAAATAGACGCGAAAAGATTTATCACGGAAGTGTGTCCGGATACGCTCACACACACGCACAAATACGTGCACTCTTAAAACAATTTATATATATATTATATATACAAACGAAATTCGTTCGGGAGACGATTATTCAACGATGATTGCGCGCGGCGAAGAGTGATAAATTCACCCGGCTGATTGCTTTCAACCGGGTCACATGGCCAACGGTGCCGGATTCACCGTCACTTTTGATCCGCCGCTCGCCGACGACGACTTCCTCCGATCGTCGTCGACCTCATTGCCGTCCCTGTAGTTATCGTTGCTACTGCCTCCTCCGTCCTCGTCGTCGTCGGCCAATACCGATTCGCCGTCTTCGTCCTCGTCGTCGGGYGACAGATCGTTTTTCCTAGAACCAATAGCAAATTACGCGTTAAAGTCGGTGTGATATAGTACTTAATAATATTGTATATTATTATTCAGGGATCACAGATTTCTGCTCTCAAAGGGTTACTCTAGGAATCCAGCGTAAGTTGTAAGGAGCTACCAAAATTGCAGTATGCACATTTTATCAACGTAGGAATCAAAAAATGCAGTTAAACTTAATGAAAACTTCATAAAGTTCATCGTACAATTATAAAAAAAAAAAATTCCTATCTGCTGGCCAGATAGAGTTCGSCCACGACAATAATGGCTCGTGGGCAACCATTTAATGACCTCCATATAGCTTATATATAGCTTTATGTAACAACCACATGCGGTCGAATTTGCGAAGTGGCTATCGACATTTTTTTTTTTAAGTTTTTTAATTTTTTTTCTTAATTTTGAACAACTATAACCCCGTTATTGAATTTAATCCACATATCAATCTTTTTGGAGTACAACACAAACTATATCTGCGAGCAAGCAGAGCGCGTTTGGTTTCTATACATTGTAATAAAGGAAATTTAAAAAAATTATGTTAGTCATAAAATAAATCAACTGCGGGTAATAACTGTTGTACTTATAATTTTTGATCAATTTTTTTTTRTATAATTATTGTGTGATTTATGACTATTAATACAAAATGTATTACATRGTTAGTAATGTAGTAGGCGGCGATGATAATTGATAGTACATAATATGGAATTATTATAATAACATGCTATACATTTTCCTTTTCTTTAAAATTGTATATCGATCACCGATCACTTAAAAATCAAAGACCAGGTGGACTAAAAACAGTGCAGAATGATCATCATCGGTTTCACCGCATTGTTATCGTTATACATTTTACGATGTATTATAATTTTAGGCATATTATGTCTATTGTTCGTTTTCGGGGACACGTGTTAATAACCATTAGAACAGCAGTCCTATGAAAATTAGATACCTCTTTACAAACACGCGTGAAAGACACGATTTATAAACACCGAACAAAACACCTATAATAGATGAGATAACGTCGATTATGCATTTATTATTATTATTATTATTATAATGACGATGTGTTATAGGTATGATTAATGTGCGATGAAGTCTTTTTGAAAGTGAACATGAAAAAGTTATGGTTATTATTATTTTTATAGATTAAAATAATCGTAGCACGACAATATTTTATGACTCGCACATAATTGGTACTACCTATATAAATTTAACGACATTTTCACTTGGTTATCAAATATAAAGTAGGTACCTATATGTTTTATTGTTTTAATGGCATATACAATTATTTTACGAAAACAATAAATGAATTGTGTTTTTTATTATTCATTCATTTTAATACTGTGGGCATTTTAAGGTAGGTAAATATATTATCTGATTAAGCTGCTGTTCGCCTGACTACATGCCATGGTACAGTAAATCACAGAGAATCTATTAAATAATCTCTGCAGGTGGCTCTGCGAAGAGTAAAAGAGCTCAAGTATATTATTTACATATTTTATGGAGCTGGTTTCAACCATAAGTAAATACCTTTAGTTAGTTATCATATAATCAAAATAATTTAATGTACCTACGCCTAATTACTAAATACTAAATACTAATATTTTTAATACCTCGACTCGTGACATTTGAAATATYATAGAATAGGGCATTTTRAAGCGACGGGCATGGAAAAAGTAAATACACTGAAATATTATATCATTTAATTAGACAATYGGTTCGGCCGATAATAATTATCCAATCCGTTTATCTATGTAGCAAGCAACAYTGTATTTTAAATAAATGTTTTAATTTATTTAAAAAAAACAATTAATGATGGGTTCTATCACTGGATGGTCTCCCTCCTCATGTGTTTCATGCCGTTATTTATCTTATGTTCAAATTTGCTTTTATGCCTTGTAGCATAGATTGTAAATATTCTTTTAAATAAAAAAATAAAWAAATAAATATTTTAAAGAATTTAACCCGTTTACAATAGACCATACAAGTAGCGACATTCTTAACTTAAGTGTTACTGTTATTGAAATGACAGTAGCCAGTAGGTGACAATTACGTATCTAAATATTTGCATTCTTTTTTTCAAACGTTTTTAAAATATGCCATACCTATTGTTTTGTAATTATAGGTATTTTATTTTTCATATAAAAAATAAATAAATAAATAAATACAATATTACACAATTAACCCAATTATTTGATATTATTTGCATATTTTTAATATTATACATGTATATCCATTTAAAATGTGAATTGAACGAAATTATTCTATTCAAATGACGAAAAGTAAAAATAATATCAATTGATTGATTTAGTTTTAAGACTGGAAATAGTTGGTACTAAGTATGGTTTTACTGATGAAATTATATWGTTAATTGTTTAATATTATGAGTATCGATGCAGTTTAAACTTTAAACTGGCAATGTATATTTTAAATAATGTTGTAATCCACACCAATCTTATTATACAGAAATCTCTTTTGTGACTATTATGGAAGTTTGAGTATATGTGATCCAAATTTGGGGCTGTGTTAAGTGTTAAGGCGTCCTAAATTCACACTATACAAGTATAGTACTCCATATTATGATAACTACTGTACTTTGGTTTATATATAACTCTATACAACACTTTGTCCTAAAAATCAAATCTACAGTTGACCAATTAGCTGACAAACATAATAGATATTTTTATTCCTAACTTCATTCCCATAAAAACGCATGAATATTGCAAATCGCATTCAATATTCAACCCATAAATCCTATCAWTGACTCAAAAGAAAATATTGCAGAGATTTACTACCCTAAAATAATATATCACGTTAGGTATATCATCACTGGTTGGTTATAATATATATGTATAATATAATATATATATATATAAAAGATATTATATAAAATAAGATGTATTTATAATATCGTGTAAAAAGTAAAATGGTGTTATATAATTTATTTAACTCTCAAATTTAGGAATTCGTTTTTGAAATTATGTTCTAGCAGTATACACAGTAAARGGTATATCGTCGATTTTTCATAAATTTAATTGAAATAAAAATGAAATCATTTTTATGTAGATGATAGTGAGAATCGCTTCCATCATGTGATATTTATTCTGGGTAACGATAAAAGTGATTCTCAAAAATATATAGGTAATAAATTCATTCCTGCTTATAATTTTTAATATAGGTCATGGCTGATCATGGCTATAAGTTTTTGTATTTGTATACTGTACCTATACTCTTTCAAAATTTTATCCGAACAATTATTTATTGGATATAAATAAMACGCTATTAGGTACCACAAATATACATATAATATTGTATAATTATAGTAAATCCAATATAATAAGTACTTAAAACTCAATCAAATCTATATTGAAAAATTTGCTCTTTGTAATTTTTTTATTATAAAATGTATCATTATAGTGCTTATAACATTAATTAATTTTTATCGTTGAATAAATTGAGTAACACAATTATTATATTATGTAACCATTTTATAATATCCGGGTTTTCAGTGTAGGTAGTTTATCATATAAATAAAATCTTGTGTTACGTAAATATAATATCGCTGAATAAATAAAAATGTTTAATGAAATTTATTCTATAGTAATATCGTTGTCGTTATAATTATTTATATTATACTCGGATACTCTACTGCACAGACGCGCGGCCTTTAACGGCGAGAAATTAGGTTACGGTAATTTTCGGTTTGCATTTTTAAATTATAAGCACTGTTCAGTATTTGTCGACGAATTCGCTCGCTTTCCGATGTTAATATAATAATAATATAAATTGGTATACATTCCGATAAAAACGCAACCGAAAGACACACCTTATTATTATTATATTATAGATAGGCAGTTGTCACTTTCTCACGCATCATGTGTTGTCGGCTGGCGTGATTTTCATAGAAATGTCTCTAATGTGTGAAATTAGTGTATTTTTTTAATTTTTCCATTCAATAGTTGTCCCATAAACGTGACTGTCAATACTGATTGATAAATGAGGAGACCTTGTTTTATTTTTTTATCTCGGGAATACGTTTATTTGATCTTTTGTTTGCTAATAACGCCCGCTCATGCTTTCGGCGGAAACATATTGAACTTTGGATTTCATCATACAATTTAACGTATAAAATACATCAYAAACGACATAGTACACGATCATAATATATTATTGTATCGATGTAGAGGGGGGATCAAGGATCGGTATAACAACGAGTGGCAAACCTAAGGTTTGATGCATTCTTTTTATGCTTCTTGATCAAAAAAGGTAGGTATAAAAAATATATCGATTGCAACTATAAATCTAAATTGTAATATGTTATTATACTTTATTTATTTTTGAAATTTGTTTCTGATTTTAATTAGCAAATATTTAGTATGATGAAAAAGTATAATAAAAGTATATAATGGCTAATTTATGCACATTGATTAGTGGTCTGGTAATCTACAGGTAAACCCTTGTAAAGATATTATTTGGCCTAAAGAATGTGAATCAAATTACAATTTGTAACAATATCATAATACATTTGTTGCATATTCAGCATTTATATTATATGATATTACACCTATACTGTTTATACTAACAATAATCATAAGTATCATATTACGATCGGTGGGGACTGTCCATCGGTTATTAGCGAGTAGAAATATATTGTACGTCATTACGATTTATACTGTTAATAATAAATGTCTGTATAATACGTTTATGTTATTATTTATATTAATAATACACACCAACATCCATTAGGTCTACAAAAAGTTATTCGAATAACATTTTATTACGTTAAGTGAAAGATTCTGGTCATACAACATTAGGTACATCGAATAAATTTAAAAATCCTGATAAATATTACAAATATTTGCAAATCTATAGTAGGTAAATTGTAAGTGATTTCGTTTCTCCAGAAATCAAAGAGGGGAAAAATTGAAAAAATAGAATTCTAACAATTGTCACTAGGTAGTCAAAGATAATGTGACTGATAATAGTAATGAAATCTCAATTTCAATCATTTAAATGCACTTGATAAATTTACCAAGATTATATCAGTTATAGCTTGTAAAGTGTGTATAAATTAATAATATGAACAATGATATATGAACAATAAACTACAATATTCCTCGTTTTTACATATTTTATTATTATTTAACTGAATAATAATAATAATAATAATAACTTATTTATTCACAGAGTACGGTAAGCCTTTATACAATTATTATAATCAGCATACTTTTTTGATTTTAATTTATGGTTATTATATGTACATTATTTAGTAAATTGCTTGAAACGCATCTACTAAAATTAATTCAATATATGAATATAAGTTGTTTTAAAAATAATAATTAATGATTATTTTAAAATTGCGCAAATCACAACTTTGATTAGATGAAAAATAATGTATTTTAAATATCTGTGGATACAAGATTGCGCAGATTAAACAATGTCCTTTTATTACATTTAATGTATCATAAATTCATAAATAATCACAATTAGCTTTTAGATGTGGTACTAATACATCTGTTTTTTTTTTTTTTTTAGAGCAAATTGCATAATTACGCTCTTTCAGCAATTTCAGCTATACAGCAAAGAAAACTAAATTACCATTTTATCCTTCTTATCACTACTATTAAGTTTATTTATGATTAAATATCGTTAAATCTTTTATATTATTATGTATATGGTTGTAGAACTTACGAATAGTTATGATTGTTAGTGAACAACGACTTCGGACATTCTTTAAAGTAAGGGTAACATTCTTTGCTGTGTTTGCCAACAGTTTCGGCAGTCACGTAGTCCTTCATTAAATCAGCGTACGTCGATCTACTAGCCCTGCAAAATAATTACAGAAATATTCTTCGTTAATAAAATTATTTTTATGATTACTAGATATTATAATAATTGTCTGCTACATCAAAACCAAAACATCRTTCAGTTCTACTTGGTGCGCATTCCAAAATACTATAAGTATATATACATTATTATTTATTACGGACGACCTAGATTTTTAATAATTCAAACAGACAAAAAAATATTATAATAATATCGTTAAAATTTTACGAAATCTACGAGGATCACAGACGTGAATAT